TAGACTCTGCCCTGGTATGAGTTGTGTCGAGCTATTCATTAGTCTGTTTGAAAAATATGAAATTGATAAAATGGGTTATTAATCCGTACAACTGCAGCAGTGGAGGACTATTATTCTGCTGCGTGAAACTGCAGAAGAACTGATGACGGCACGGTTTGATCTTCGGCTGACCAATCAGCAGAAAGGGGCGTTTAATTCCCGCCCACGTGTAGAAATCGAATATTCAAGCTGTTTATTCATTTTTCCACCCATGAAGAAAAACGAAAATTTAAGCTGAATTCTCGTTTTTCGGAAAAAAATGAAAAAATGAAAAAGGAGCCGTTTTCTCATTTTTCTACTTTCAATATTAAATCAACAAACGAATGATCGAATGATAAACGGATTCATGTTAATCCGTGTATCATTCGATCATTCGTTTTTTTATTTAATATTGAAAGTAGAAAAATTTGAAAACGGCTCCTTTTTCATTTTTTCATTTCAAAACATCCATAAACAAGAAACACTAAATAAATATGAAAGACAAAAGACTTAAACAGTAACTTTAATCTCAAGGCATCTAAGAACCTGAAAATAAGGGGAATAAACTTATCATGAATTATCCATTATGTATTGTACTGAACTACAATGAACTCTAGAACTATCCAGCTGTGAACACAGCTGTGAACACCTTTCCTCTCCTCAAAAATGTCCTGAGAGGGGAAACTTAATTTTGAAATGCTTTAATTTAAGTACCTTATTATTTTAAATACCCCCAGAACAAGCAGCACTGACAGTTTTCAGTGATTTCAAAATCTCTCGATCAGTTTTTCGAACAAAAATATTAATCTTTTTCTGTCCTCGGCATATGGGGAGTCTGGTTCAGTGTGTCCTGTGCCGTTTGTATCAAGAGCCATGGCGGTAAAAGTCTCTCTGTCTCTTTCAAGGGCTGCTCTGTCCCGCTCCAGTCTCGCTCTGTCCTGTTCCAGCGAGGCTCTTTCTCGGTCAATCGCAGCTCGGTCCTTTTCCAACTGCGCTCTGTCTCTCTCCAACGCCGTTTTCTCCCTCTCTGCGATGGCCTTCTCGCGCTCCAGCAGCACTCGCTCTTGGTCCAGGTCTGCGTGCTCCTTCTCCAGCAGCTGTCGCTCTCGTCTGAGTTTGGCTCTTTCGAAGTGTAGCTCGTCTTGAGTCTCTGGAGGGCTTTTTTCCACGGGTCTCCCATTCACGCTTTCTGCTGTATCTGATGAGGGTCCTCCATCAGCTACCGTCGCTTGAGTATTGACCTCGATTACTGAATGTGTCAGTAATTCTAGAATATCACTCCCCATTTCTACTTGATACATCTTTTTGCTTGGCTGGGCTGCACATTCAGACTCATCGGCCAGGTTGGACAATAAGGTCGGTTTAGGAGGGTCAACATCAGTGGGATCGCCATCTACAGCCTTATCCATGAGTCTGAACCACCGCCAGGATTCGGGTTTAACCGTTTCAACATCCTTTGCAAGAGCTTTTAAAACCTAGGGGGAAAAGGTAGAGAAAACCACTTCAGGAGAATTGCATGCATACATATTTAATTTATAACTACATTTTTAGAATTTCTGAAGAACAAAAAGTATTAGTGGTGTGCAGCTATATGAGTAAATAATTTTAATTGAAAATAAAGACGAAGTGTCCATTCGATGTGTCCATCTTACCTTGTATTTGCATTTTAAATTCTCCCACTTTCGTTTTGCTCTTTGAGAAGTAATATTTCCATCCAGGTTGGATTTTGTCTCTTGTATGAACAGCCTACAAAAAGAAAACACAGTTTGTCACTTTCTTTTTAAAAGCTGCTTATAGAAAAGAAAATACTTGGATTTTCAAACTGGTGACCCCTAGGGGGCTACATAAAGTTTGGATGACACCCATGTCAATGAAAATTTTAGTTTTTATTTATTTATTAATTCATTTGTTTATTTATTTTTACAAAACTCTCAATGTGTTTCCTTAAGATATTAATTAAATGCTTAAAATGTATATAATTATATTATATATATATATATATTATTAAATGTTTCATTTTTTGTATATTTTTCTATTATTACTGAATTAATATTTTAAAACATTCATTCAGTAATCATGAATTCGTTCTACCATTATTTGGCTGTTTATTTCTAATGAGTTTCTCCTTGCCATTGTAACCTTTATCTTACTTGTTGGATGCTGTAGTGAAATATTCGCTTTACATCTG